GCAGCAAAACCTTAAGAAAGCCTTGGCATACGGCAACCACCGTAGCGTAGACGACCACCAAACACAAGTGTGGGAAAAACTATGCGAAGATGTCAAGCGTAACAGGTGTATCGTCCTGAGAAAGGCGAACGCGTCGGACGTACGTGGGATCAGAGTAGCCCCGTTGGGAGCGGTCCCAGGGAAAAAAGTGAGGATCATCAACGACTTCTCGTTTGACCCAAGCAATAGCAAGGGGTCAACAGGTGGGCTCAACAAAGATACCATTATGTCTGGAGTTCCACGGTGCCTGTGCGGCGAAGCACTACCAGCTTTCCTCGAGGAGCTCACTAGCCTACGAGTAAGATGGCCCGACAAGAGAATTCTCGCAGCCAAGGCTGATGTCACCTCTGCGTTCAGAAATGTGAGGATATCACCAGATCATGCACACAACTTTTGCTACGTGATAGGAGACGTGCTAGTAGCGGATCTACGGCTGACCTTTGGCTGGGCAGCGTCACCAGGATTGTGGGGTGTGTTAGCCTCCGCTGCAGAGCACTCGCACCGCAACACGTCCCTCGCGAACGCTCGACTACTACCAGAAGGAATCGCAATGATGTCTCACGTGAAAATAAAACCTCCTTGGGAAAAAGGCACCCCAACCTCAATACCCTCGTCGGCAGGCGTTAGACCGCATAGAGGCGGAGGACCCGCGGACGATTTCTTGGTCAGGGTCTACGTTGACGATTTCTTGCTCACGAAGGTCAAGCATGACCCCTACTGACCAATCGGCACTCATTGCTTCCGCCTCGCTAGCGTCAAACCATGTCAGACTGTTTGGCAAGGGAGAAGTCGGAGAAACCCTCATTCTCGCCCCGAAAAAGAGCACTGACTGGGACACGGTCATAGAGGCCCTGGGGTACATCATAGACACGCATGATGGCAGAATTGCAACTACACCGGATCGGGTAAGCGCGATTCGGAACGTACTAGAGGCGGATTGGCCCCACGATAGGAAGAAGGCCAGTGTTCAAGAAGTCCTCAGCATTGCAGGAAAACTGTGGAACCTCACTTATGTTATCAGGGCCGGTAGGTACTTCGTGTGGCAACTGCTCCGCCTATCGGGTCTGCATACGCAGGCCAGTCGACACACACGGTCACGACGACTAGTGGACTTGGGTAGAGAGTTCCACGGCGATATCGCCTTCTGGAAGTGGGCCCTCAATCAGCCACTGGCACTTCGAGGGGAGTCCCTCAGCGCATCGTTCTTACTCCACGTAAAATGAGCACCCTCACGCCTTTACCTCTCAGACGCTAGCTTCACAGCGATTGGCGGCTACTGTCCCGAACTAAAGACTTTCTGGAGATACACGATCGAATCATCGTTGTCTGCGGAGCTCAAGCGCAAGGCGCAAGAGAAGGAGACGTCAGACATTACGATCAATCTGTTAGAACTCGCGGGCATGTTCATGACGGCGTGGGTAGTCCAAATGATCTTGAAAGACAGACCTGTAGAAGAAGGGCAGTCGGTGTTGATGCGTGGAGACAACGTGTCGGCCGTCAGTTGGACTAACAGGTGTGGGGGGTCGCGCGACAGGCGCGCTAGCCTCATAATGAGACTCATGGGTAGGATGGAAATTTCTTGCGGCTGGTGCCACGTGGCTAAGCACATCCCTGGTCGAATGAACACACTTGCGGACGGGATCTCACGTTGGGAAGAAAATGAGATCGCCGCCAACGTGAAAATGCTCACAAAAGACTCAGGGTGGACACAGCAGGATATTGGAGTAGGGGGACGAGCGTTGCTCAACATTATCCTACAAAAGAAATTGCCGAAAGAAAGTCTGGACGACTCGGTATGGGACATTATGGTCGAAGGAACAGAAAATATCTGACACGGCAGAGGGGGCGGTCGGACACCGCTCTGTGTTCCGGACGATCAACGAATTATCATACGAAATGAGATAGCGAGAAGCTGGAGCGGTGGACACGCCTCACATTCACTGTTTCATGACGCCTTGATGAAATGGATAGCCGGGGGAGGCAGAGTTGGTTTGGACGACCAAGTTTTCCTGTTCTCCCTCCAAGCCAAGTCGGGGCTATCCACGGGTTCGGCATGAACTTGTCGTACCTTGGGAAGGAACCTCGAAATGTGCGCATTCCTCACGCTGTGTATACCCGATGATTGGATATCAGGAACTCAGGGAAAGGATGGCCGGGGAGGCACGAGCGCCGAGGGGGAGCGGTTGGTCAACGCACTCACCTTCGGGTCTTTGGGAAGTGGTACCAACAAGGTGTATCAAAGGATGTGGAACACGTGGAAGGAGGCTCGAGCAGGGGCGGGTTCGGGCCCGTGGCTCCGCGAGAGCGATGGGGTGGAAAGTGCGGTGCGTGAGCTGTCTGTGTTCATGGCTTGCCGGTGTTTCGGTCACAAGAACCAGAGTCAGACTATCCGCAGGTATCTCTCAGCCATCAAGTACTTCCGTAAGATGCACGCAGGATGGGAGTTGCCCACTTCGCATTTCCAGATCCTTGCCATGTTGAAAACCATTGATAGGGTCCACGCCAATACGCAGGCGAAGCCTAAGGTTAGGAATCCCCTTTCATGGAACATGCTAGAGGCTGGAAAGTGCGTGGTCGAAAATTCGGGAGAATCAGGGAAGTTGATCTGGTGTGGACTTGCCCTTTCGTACTTGCTGATGTGCCGAGCTTCAGAAATCTGGGCGGACGACTCGGGGCTCGTGCACTCGGATTTTTTCTATTTTCTATGGGCCGTCCTTCGTTAGTGCGTCTTGATCAACTTGAAAAAGGCGTGCGCGTGTGCGTGTTCGTTGACGTCCCATCTATTCTGGCGCTACTGTAGGCCACACGGCTTTCGATGGGCATGCTTGCCGTTTTCTCGTGCCAGCCGGGTCACACGGGCAACCAGGGCATGTATACTAATACTGCAAGGTTAGTTTCTGTAGGGTACCCACAGATCTATACCGGGGGTAATTACCCTATGTTTTACCCTACAAAACAATTATGTGAGTTCTGTGCCCGTAGCGCCCCAATACCCTACACTTCTGTGAGTTCTGTGACGGTTGCACCACAGTACCCTACACTTCTGTGAGTTCTGTAGCACACACGGTACCCCACAGAGATTACCCTCTTGTTCTGTATACAATACCCTAACACTTCTGTGGGTTCTGTGACGGTCGTGCCACAATACCCTACACTTCTGTGAGTTCTGTAGCACATCCCGTACCCCACAGAGATTACCCTCCTGTTCTGTATGCCGGCGGCACAATTACCCGCGGTACGGGTAAACATTTGTGGAACTACCCTCCACATTTGTGATTACCCCGGGATGCTGACGTCAGTCCAACTTGAAGCGTACCCTCAAAAAACACCACACAACACACAGAGCAAGACCCTCCTTCAGCAGAGAAACAGAACACATCTGGTCGACGTGGTGAACAACACCGCGAACGACATTGGCGTGTAGACTGACTGTCGAGGGGGGGGAGACCCCTCTTTGCTTCTCGCTACTGCTGTTGTGTTGGGAAAAAGTCGGATGGGAACGGAGTTTGCCCCTTGCCTGCTGGCGAGGAGTAGTCGTGGGGGCGCACCACGAAATCCTTTGCACTCAGGTTTTCAGTCTTGATCTTTTTTTCGTCGTGCAGGTTTTTCCCCCTCTGGGAAGTGGAGAGGGTAGAGGAAAACGTAACATAGTCTAAACGTGAAATGCTTTTTGTTTATGTTTATGTTTTTTTTTTAGCAGTAGTCCTCCGCTGTCACCTGGGAAGTTGAGGACTGGGATATATAGGGGCCGTACGCAAGCACGCTTCATGTTTTCAAGTCTTGGTTTAGTACCTTGAAACCGAGTCGAACGAAGGCAAACAGCAGTGTGCAAATACAGAGACTCGCGCGGGTACCGAGGGTAATGACCGTCTGTAGTTACCCTACAGATACCCTACAGAGCCTACCCTGT